AGATTAATCTGGGAACTTGTTAGAACACAGGCTGCGGAGGCCATCCTTAAGTGTCCCAAGTTGAAAACCAAGTCCTGTCATCACTCCCCCTGTCTGTATGAACACCCTGTCCATATCTCTGAGCATTTAAGGGAGAGTTCCATAGGGTTAAATTTCTAGCTGTGGAAATGATGAGTCAAGTGAGATTAGCAGCATTAATTTTAATAATATGGCCAAACTGAACTTTAACATTGCAGTGCTTGCGTGTGTATGCTGTCTGTTCCCTCCCCATCACCCATGGCAAACACTGCCTGAAACTGTTTCAGCACTCTGATGTATGAGACACTTCATTATTATTATTTTTTGAGATGGAGTCTTGCTGTTATCCAGGCTGGAGTGCAAGTGGTGTGATCTCAGCTCACTGCAACCTCTGCCTCCCGGGTTCAAGCGATTCTCCTACCTCGGTCTCCCAAGAAGCTGGGATTACAGGCACCTGCCACACCTGGCTAGTTTTTATATTTTTAATAGAGACAAGAGTTTCACCACGTTGGCCAGGCTGGTCTCAAACTCTGACCTCGAGTGATCCTCCTGCCTTGGCCTCCCAAAAATGTCGGGATTACAGGCATGAGCCATGGAGCCTGGCTGACACTTCATTATTTGAATTTTAATGAATTATGAAAGGAGCTGAAAGAGTGTCTTCTTTTTCTGTAAATGAACTTTTTATTTTGGAATTACTTTAGATTTACAGAAATGTAAAGGTAGTACCGAGTTCCTATGTGCTCCTCACCAGCTTCCCCCGAAATGAACACACATAACTGGCACATATGCCCAAACAAAACATTGGTACGCTACTAGTAACTGAACTTCAGGTTTTATTTGGATTTTACCATTTTCCTACCAATGTCTGTGGAATCCAAGATGCCACATTGCACTGAATCATATCTCCTTAGGGTTCCTTGATCTGTGACACTTCCTCAGTTTATCCTTGTCTTCCATGACCATGGTGGTTTTGAAGTCCCGGTTAGATAGCATGAACTGTCCCTCAGTTTGTGTTTAATGTTCTTTAATGATTAGAAAGCGCTTATGGGTTGGAAGGAAACACCACAGAGGTGAAGTGTCCTTCTCATCATGCCATGCCATATCGGGTAACACATAGTATCACATACTTTCATAGTAAGGAAAATTCCAAACACACATAAAAATAGCAAGAGTAGAGTAAGAACTCATTACATGGTACTCCACAATTACCAGTGCTGTTCTACCAGTGCTTTTTCTGGATAGCTTTTCAATACGGTTGGAAGACATTTTCATTTCACTTTTCTGTCCTCTTCTCCATCCGTCCTTCTTCCCTCCCTTCCTCTATCCTTTTTTTTTTTCGAGATGGAGTTTCACTCTTCTTGCCCAGGCTGGAGTACAATGGCGTGATGGGCTTACTGAAACCTCTGCCTCCTGGGTTCAAGCAATTTTCCTGTCCCAGCTTCCTGAGTAGCTGGGATTACAGCTGCATGCCACTACGTCTGGCTAATTTTTGGTATTTTTAATAGAGATGGGGTTTTACCATGTTGGCCAAACTGGTCTTGAACTCCTAACCTCAGGTGATCTGCCTTTCTCAGCCTCCTAAAGTGGTGCGATTACAGGCATCAGCCACTGCGCTCAGCCTATCCTTCCTTTTTAACACAAAAGGGGAAAGCCCTAAGTGTTGGCAATCTATATGGAAGAGCATAACACATCTAATTAAATTGTTCCCTCTCTTGGCTCTGACTCTCATAACAAAATACCATAGACTGTGGCTTAAACCACAAACATTTGTTTCTCATCGTTCTTTTCCAGCCTTCTCTTCTTCCACCCTCCTCAGATGGGAACCCTCTCCTCTGTATTTCCACTGTTAGCCCCCATATTGCTTTTTTTTTTTTTTGAGATGGAGTCTCGATGTCACCCACGCTTGAGTGCAGTGGCAGGATTTCTGCTCAATGCAGCCTCCACTTCCTTGGTTCAAGGAATTCTCCTGCCTCAGTCTCCTAAGTAGCCAGGATTACAGGCGCACACCACCACACCCAACTATTTTTTGTATTTTTAGTAGAGACGGGGTTTCACCATGTTGACCATGTTTTAGTAGAGACTGGGTTCACCAGTTCACTTGAACTCCTGGCCTCAGGTGATCCACCTGCCTCAGCCTCCCAAAGTGCTGGGATTACAGACATGAGCCACCATGCCTGGCCTCCCATATTTCTTTCAAAGCACCAGAGTTGAGGGGAAATGGCATGGTCTGCCCAGGTGCTCTTGTCCGTGGATTTAAAAACAATCATAAAACCAAATTGGATTAAAAAAAAATTTTTTTTTTTGAGTCAGGGTCTGGCTCTGTCACCCAGCCGGAGTTGCAGTGGTGCGATCTCAGTTCACTGCAACCTCCACTTCCTGGGCTCAATCCTCCAGATCCTCCAACCTCAGACTCCTGAGTAGCTGGAACTACAGTTGTATACCACCATGCTTGGGCTATTTTTTTTCTTTTTTCTTTTCTTTTTTTTTTTTTTGAGACGAAGTTTCGCTCTTGTTACCCGGGCTGGAGTGCAATGGCGCGATCTCGGCTCACCGCAACCTCCGCCTCCTGGGTTCAGGCAATTCTCCTGCCTCAGCCTCCTGAGTAGCTGGAATTACAGGCACGTGCCACCATGCCCAGCTAATTTTTTTGTATTTTTTTTAGTAGAGACGGGGTTTCATTATGTTGACCGGGATGGTCTCGATCTCTCGACCTCGTGATCCACCCACCTCGGCCTCCCAAAGTGCTGGGATTACAGGCTTGAGCCACCGCACCTGGCCCTATTTTGTGTGTGTGTGTGTGTAGAGATGGGTTTCACCATGTTGGCCAGGCTGGTCTTGAACTCCTGAGCTCAAAGCGATCCGCTCACTATCGCCTCCCAAACTGTTGGGATTACAGGTGTGAGCTACCATCCCCAGCCTGGATCTGCTTTTTGTCATCATTATATAATGGCAATTTTAAACTTATCAGAGATATAATACTCCTCCTTGGGAGAAAAATCAAGATACAGAACATTTCCAGCACCTCAAAGGCTTACTCAAGGAAATGTTTTAATGCTTAGTATATTATTTAATCTTACCCCAACTCCCCTTTTGCAGAGTGCTGAGAAACTCAACTGCAGTCATGTTTAAGCTCCCCTGGCCTTGTAGGGGCACGGGAAGGACTGAATTTTGTGAGCCCTAAGGTCCATTCTTGCTCTTTCGGGGGCTACTTACCTCCAGGAGTGGCTGTTTCCGCCCCTGTTTCTCAACTATCACTGTGGAGGGTCCTGACCTGAGCAACATCCCATCCAGCTTCCCCCTCCCCTCCTTTTTTCTTTCCCTTTTGTTTTTTTGACGGAGTCTCACTCTGTCGCCCAGGATGAAGAGCAGTGGTGCAATACTGGCTGACTGAGGCCTTTGCCTCCCGGGTTAAAGAGCTTCTTCAGCCTCAGCCTTCTGAGTATTGGGGACTACAGGTGTGTGCCACCACGCCCAGCTAATTTTTGTATTTTTAGTAGAGATGGGGTTTCACCATATTGGTCAGGCTGGTCTCAAACTCCTGACCTCATGATCTGCCCGTCTCAGCCTCCCAAAGTGCTGGAATTACAGGTGTGAGCCACCACACCCGGCCTCCCCCACCTTTTTTTTTTTTTTTTTTTTTGAGACAGGATCTTACTTTGTCACCCAGGTTAGAGTGCAGTGGCTTGATCAGGGCTCACTGCAGCCTCAACCTCCTGGGCGCATTTCCCGGACACAAGCGATCCTCCCGCCTCAGCCCCACAAGTAGCTGAGGCTACAGGCACAGCTGCCATGCGCAGCTAATATTTTGTAGAGATGGGGTTTCAACATGTTGCCCAGGCAGGTTTGGAATTCTTAAGTTCAAGCAATCCACTCACCTGAGCCTCCTAGAATGCTAGGATTACATGCGCGAGTCACCATGCCTGGCCCCAGCCTCTCTTTTGAGGCCTAAAACAGGGAAAAGATGCTCACTCAAAGCCTTCAGCTCATTTTCCTGATTCACTGGCCTGATTTCACAATCCCCAAGGCCTGGCAAGGTGCCCAACCGTTCTCAAAGTTGGGTCTGCAGGTCTTTTCTTTGTGAACAACATAACTGCAGATGCTTCACCATGTATATGTCAACCAGTGCAATATATTGCAGCAGACCGAATGCTGAAGCACATGTGAGAATCTATTAGGTCAGATTTTAAAAAGATTTGCAAAAGTGTAAAACAATACCCCTCCTTTATTTTGGTGGTGGGTGGGGAATATATATTTCCTTTTTTTTTTTTTTTTTTGAGACGGAGTCTCTCTGTCACCCTAACTGTAGTGCAATGGCCCGATCTTGGCTCACCACAACCTCCACCCTCTGCGTTCAAGTGATTTTCTTGCTTCAGCTTCCCAAGTAGCTGCGATTACAGGGGTTCAATGTAAGGCCGGCTGCCTCGTTGGAGCTCGGACACGCCCATCCCTCGCCAGGCCTGAAAACTACGTCACCACTCCGCGCTCCACATCAAGCTCTGCACCTGGCACCTAGCCCGCCTTTGGAAAGCCCCGCCCAAACCTGCCCAATAGCATTTTGCTCTGTCCAGGTCCCTCTCCCCGTGGGCACCGCTCACGGGAAATCCCGCCCACCTACCAGTAAGAGCTTGCCCCAACCACGTGCGGTTTCCCCACAACCAATCAAAACGCCTTCACTCCCCATAAAATCCCACGCCCAGCTGCGTCAAGCGCGACTTCCCTGGCCCCTTTCCCCGGGACTCTGGAACCTCGCCGGGGAGTTTTATAAATTGGTATTTAATTTTTTTATGCTGGTCCTTTTCCTCATTCTAAACTCGGCAATAACCCTTACATTCACCAACACGCCTGGCTGATTTTTGTAATTTTAGTAGAGACAGGGTTTCATCATGTCGGCTAGGCTGGTCTTGCACCCCTAACCTCAGGTGATCCGCCCGCCTCGGCCTCCCAAAGTGCTGGGATTACAGGTGTAAGCCACCGCACCTGGCCATTTACTTTTAAACAGCAACCAAAAAACTTTAAAGCATTTTAACTTATAGTATGGTAACATCGACAGCTATAATCCACGTTAGTAAAAGCTTGGGGCCCTCAACCATTTTTACGAGTATAAATTGGCCCTGAGACTAAGAGTTTGGGAAATGCGGTAGCTCTACGAGGCTGTGCCATTCTTGACGCCGAATCAGTGAATTTCGAAGAAGGAAGGTCGTCGGCCCGCCGCCTCACCGCCAAGCTGGAGCCTCGCGCTCCAAATGCGTCCTTCGAAGTCTTCGGCAAAAGCGGGACTGAGGAGTCCAGTCGTGTCGCCAAGCCAGCCACGATTCCTCGCGTGGAAGGCTGGACAATGTTTTCTACCTCACAGGACCACCGAAATGACTGCCTTAGGTATCCCCAGAAATCTGCGATGAGTCACATCCTGTTCTACAGAAGCAAAAGCTGAAGCTCAGAGATGCCAAGAGCTTTGCTGGGGTCCCGCGACTAACTGGTTCTAAGACCCAGACACCCTAGCTACCCGGACGCGCCAGGTTACAACCCGGCGTCGAACAGCCGCCGGATCCTCCTGCCAGCTACACATCCGGCGCCCAGGCCGGAAGCTTCCCTTCCGGTTCCCAAGACCGCGCTCCGGAAATGAGTCACTCTACCAGTACCTAAGATGGCCGCCAACCTATCCACCGCCACGATCAATGGAAGGGACGTGTTCACGAACCCGGAAGTTGCCCAACTCCGCCATGGCAGGAGCTAAGGGCGCCGGGGGCGTGGCTTCCGGCGGCCACAGTCTGTAAGTCGCGGCGGCGGGGTCCAGCCGGGTGGCAGCTGACAGGCGCTCCTCCCCTGACGGCAGCGGCTGGTGCCCAGCGAGGCGGGCGGCCCCCAGCTCGCGTCCCCGCGTCCCAGCCCGCGAGGCGCCAGGGCTGCGCCAGGGCATGGAAGAGGGGAAGATGGACGAGAATGAATGGGGGTACCACGGAGAAGGCAATAAGAGCTTGGTGGTGGCCCACGCGCAGGTGAGTGGCGGACGTACCGCGCAGGTCCGGGACCTCACTCAGACGGCCGAGATTATCCCGTCCCCATTATCCCTTTCCCCAGCAGGGTCGATTCCACTTTCCGCACCGTACCTCCCTCCTCCCCGGCCGTTCTCCATTCTCCCACCCTCCAGCATCCCCCCCAACCCCGTGAGTTCCTCATCGCCCCAGTATCTCCTCTCTACTGGGTCAGTCTCTTTCCCGGAGGTCCTTCCTTCTCCCGATCCGTCTGTTTTCCCCTCAGTATTCTCCCTCTCCGTCAGAATCAGTTCCACGTCCCCCTCGCCGCCCCATCGGTGCCGCGCGCAGCCTCACGCGGTGCTGCCTCCCGCCTGGGTGCCCGCGGGACTGCCAGGCCGCAGTGGGGCGGAGGCTTAGCTGGGACAGAGGGCTCGGGCAGCACTGGAGGAAGAAGCAGAGTGCCCATGGTGCTGTTACTCTCAGCACCAAAAGAGTTCAGCCTCTTGAAACTACAGAATTGCTGTTCTTGCTGCTGTTAATAGTAAGGGGACGTGGTCCACAGGTCCCCTTCTCAAGCTTTTGGAATTTGAAGAAACCTGAATTCAATGATGGTGAAAGTTTTAGAAACTACAGTAAGAAGTCGTAAAGGTGAATCCAAGAGTGAAGCATGTGGGTTTGTGTGAGTGCCCAGATCTCTCTGACCTTTTGCTGCCTGGTACAATCACGCCGGAATGTGGCCGGTTGGGGGTGGGGGAGGAGGGTTGGGGCGGCGGGGAATAGGTGTTACGTAGGGGAGGAGTTAGAGCCTGAGTGTTAAAGGCACAGGAATCTCAGTTCTACCACTGCGTGGTGGAGGCTTAGTGTCTACATTTGTAAAGTGGAACTAATAAGAGAACTCACTTTGTGGGATTGTTGGAAAGATCAGTTGAGCAAGAACCCATCAGGTTATGCTTAGCAAGTGAAAATTGTCATAGATACACATAGATAAAGTGAAAATAAGAGGTTGAGGGCACTGGCCCAGTCCAACAGCTTGTCAGGGATGGTGTAGGTGGTGGAGTACTGCCTTGCTTCTTTTATTTCTATGCTGGGTGCATTGGTCAGCTACAGTGTAAGCTGCAAATATCCACCAGGTAGCCCGAGGTTCTGCCTTTGGATTTTGTTACTCATTAGCACAGGGAACTAAAGAACAGATACTACAGGCTTTGCTCAAGATCTTTAGGTGAATATAATGGACCAGGCTAACCTGAAACCATCCTTCTCTTGTGTAGTCCAAGACTGGGCCAAATGAGGGATGTTTCCTCGTGAGTCCGTTTTGTTGTTGGATTACTGTGCCAATCTCCTGAATCCTTTCCCAAAACAAGTGCTGATCTTCCAATTACTTGGTAAGATTAATTGTATCTCTGCATTTTAGGTAAACCCAAGGCGTTCTTTAGTGAGGGCTGATATATTAAGTTTCAAAAGTGGTGGCAGATGTAGCAGCAATTTTCAGGCTTGGAGCAAAAGGACACCCATGTTGAAAGAGCAGAGGCTTTGAGGAAGTTGCCTCTGGCATTCGGATCTCTCTGTATGTCCCTGACAAGTATGTGTCCACCCTATTCCCTGAGCAGGCATCTCCAGGGCATCCTGGCCCTCCCCTGTTGCACACTTCTGATTGTAATGATTGTTTCTTTTTTCTTTCACCTTTTCAAATTTACCTACAGCTGCCAGGCTATTCTAGACCTATGCTATTCATGCTTTTTTTTTTTTTTTAAAGTTGAGGTCTTGCTCTGTCTCCCATGCTGGAGTGCAGTGGCTCAATCTTGGCTCACTACAACCTCTGCCTCCTGAATTCAAGCAATTTTCCTGCCTCAGCCTCCCAACTAGCTGGAATTACAGGTGCCTGCCACCATGCCTGGCTAATTTTTTTGTGTTTTTAGTAGAGATGGGGTTATCACCATGTTGGCCTGGCTGATTTCGAACTCCTGACCTCAAATGATCTGCCCGCCTTGGCCTCCCAAAGTGCTAGGATTACAGGTGTAAGCCACCGTACCCAGCCTCGTTCTTTATTTTAAATCTAATTTTGCTTTACCATGCTCATTTCTGCTTGGTTGTTGTTTTTAGCTCATCATTTGAAATTGAAGATTATCACTGCACAGAGTCTCATGAGAAAATGTTTCCCATCAAGTTAAGGTCAGACAGAGCCTGTGCCTGATATAGTAACCTGAACCAAGCCTGGCCCACCAGCTCTGCCCTGTGGCTTATTTGCTTAGGCTGTAGACCGAGGAGGAGAGAGCAATTTCCTGAAAGGCAGCTTTTTAGGACCTGTTGAGTTTGAGCAGACAGTGTGTGTCAGTGGGATAGAAGATGGATGAGGGAGAACAGGAGGAGTCTGTGGTCCCTTGGATGCTGAGCGTGTGCACGGCCTCCCTCCAGCCGAGTGCGGGGCAGGTGGACCCTGCTATTCTGCTCAACTCCTTAGATCCACCTCATTCAGTCCAAGAGAGAGGGAGGCCTTTGCCAAGTTTTCCCAGGTAAGGAGAGGGTTACTTTCTCTGAGAGGGCATCAGCTCCTCTCACAGTTGAAAGGTCCATAATGAGTCCTGTGCTGACTGCCATCCCCTCCACTGTGAGAACATGCTGCATCTTCAGCCAGCCTGAACCCATCCTGCAGGAGCCGAGGGTCTAGGTAAGGAGATCTGCATGGTCATTGGCTATCAGCACTAGAAGGAGCAGAGTGATGTTCTCTCTGGTATGCAAACATGGGATGAGAGAGAACTTTCTGTGGAGCACAGGACTTGTAGGAAATGGGGCTGGGGATAGGTGTGGGCTGCAGGAGGATGGGCAGGAAGGTAAGCAGCAGGCCAACCATAGAGAGGCATTTAAAGGTGTTCCTGACAGAAGGTGGTCAGCTTTCCCAAGGCCCTTCCTCTCAGAGATGGCCCAGGACGATTCTCATTTTGCCAAAATTGTCAGTTTGTGTTCTGCCTCTGTTTGGGATGGTTGTGCACCCAAACTTTCCCAGGTGCAGGTAACCACAGTATTCTCTGCCTTGTGTGGCACAGACCCTGTGGCATGCTTGAGAGGCTCTCAGCAGCCTGGCATGTCCTCTGGTGGGTGTCTGGAACTCCAGGCACTGCCCCATGGGTGCAGGGGCACTTCCCATCTGGACACAGTTTCCTCACTGCAGACTGAAGGTATAGTACTTGGGCTAGTAGCCACATCTCAGGTTAGTGAAGTCCACAGGCTGCCCCTTTATGCACTGCCGCTGGATTTCTCTCCTGTGTGGCACCTGCATCTGCCTCCTTCACCTTCAGCTGGTTGGTTTTGGCTCAGTGCCCTGTCCTGTGAAGGTCATTTTAGGTTTGGTTTGTTATTCCATCTCCTAGGTGTCCAGATCTGGATCATGTGCTTGCCTGGGACACTGAGCCCCTTCCGGAACACCTCAGCCTTGGGGAGCAGAGGCAGAAGGTGGCCCACTCCCATCATGACACTAAGCTGTCATGATGTTTTCCTTCTTACTGACAGAGGTAACATGAAAGACTTTGCCATTTAGTCAGCTTACCAACAAAGAACATTGATCACATGTGTGGACAAAGCTGCTCACTTCCAGTTGTTCCAGTTTTGTGAACTTTCCGAGAGTCTGAGAGCTTCAGACCATTTCTGCAAATTGTTTTGGTGCCTGGGAAGTTTTGGTGTCTCTTTGGCACCTGTTTGGTGCCTGGGGTGTTTGTCTGGGCATTGAAGGTGTGAAGTTCAAGCAGTCAGGTACCCTTTTACTGTTTCTCTTCTCATCTTGTGTTTTAAGATTTCTGGTTCATAGATTATATATATATATATATATTTTTTTTTTTGCCATACAGCATGATTTTGTGTATTAAAATTTTAATAATTTAGATGATTATTTTGTAGTGGATGGATTAAGTAAATGATACTAGATTCCACTTCATATGAGGAAGTGTTTACAATGTTACATAGAAAAAGCAGGTTACAAAAGAAGATGGATAATGTGATTATAATTATAAAATGACTGAAAGAAAATACATGAAAGTGTTCTAAGTGGCTATAACTGTGATAGTATCATGAATTACCCTTTTTTTTTGTTTTTAAAATATTTTCTAAATTTCCTACAATGGATATGTGTGATACTTGGGAAAAAAGATTAATTTCTGAAAAGTTTATGCTCTTTGATTTACTAATTTCTGTTCTAGTAGTCTGTTCTAAGGAGATAATTAGAAACATAAATAAAGATCTCGTACACAAAAATATCCATTACAGAATCACTTACAACAGGTTAGGTGGAAAGCCGCTGTCCAGTCCTTCAGGACTGTTCATTGGGTCATACTTCCTACTGTGGATGCTGGAAGCATATACGTTTATGATCTCCATTTTTTTCCAACTGTATAACGTATGCCCCAAGGCCAGGGCCACTCCCTTTTAAAGTTTTTAGCTGGACCTAGTTGAAATAGTCTTAGCTTTCCGTTACAGCCAGCATTTTGTTTAAACCAGTGATGTATTCTGCATTTGGGATTTTTAATGGTGGTGTTCTAGGCTGATGCAGCTGATATGGCTTCTATCCTGGTGAGGTTCCTCCTTGTCTCATCCAAGCTCATTGGAGAGCTGTGCTTGTGGCTCCCTCTTTGTATATTCCTTTCTTTGTATCTGCAGTTGTGTGATGAGGTCTGCTTTTTGGTGACTGTCAGCCCTGTGATGGTGTCTCTCTGGCACTTGGGGGTTTGTCGGTTTGGTCTGGGCTCACTTCCTACTTTTATACCTTCTGAGGTGACACATCCACTTTCCTTGCCTGACTGAGCCTCCTTCTTGGTCAGAATTCAGTCGAAGCAAAGCTCTTCAGTGACTTCCTCTGTCTTCTGAGAACTGCAATCCAGGAGGGTGAGGCAAGCATTATTTCTGTGTCTGCAGAAAGCAAGGTTGTACCTTGGGCCTGGCCACTTCTGCCTTATTGCCAAGCAGTTGGATGATCTGAGGGCTGAGACTTGCTCACACTTCCCTGTGGCCCTCACCGTGGGCCTCAAGGCAGCCCT